ATCCTTAGATAACCAAAGTTAAATGAAAATTCATTTCTATTAGTTAATAATATATTTGTGCTTTCTACCAGACACATAATTGTGAATTTTCTAGAAATAGCCCTGGAAATACAACTTGAACTGCCTTACTTCTTTTTTCCCTCTTTTGAAAACATGATCAACTTTAGAACCTCCTCTTGTTGGCAGTTTCTAGAGAATACTTTTTTATTCCCCAGAACCAAAAGAACAACAAGTATACGTCTTCAGAACTAGATATTTCCCTATTTGGAAAATGTTTGCATTTTTCATTATTTAAATAGTGATTCTTTAAATGAATATCTCCTCTTTTCAACAACAGAGTTAATTATAGGAAAGCTTTCTCAAGAAGCAAGAGGAGAGAAGAAGTTTCAAAGGAAATTAGAGTTGAGTACAGTGTCCTAACTGGATTCCCAAAACCCTGTAAGAAACACAGCTTATGTAGCACCAATAATAGTACTATTTTTACCAGTGATGAATGACCAGAACTCTTTGCTCTAGAAGCAATGATCCCAGTTAAATATCAGCATTACACCTTCTCCTTCAGAGATGGAGGGAAGCGGGTTGCTTGCATCCATGACAAAATGTGAGACTCAGCTAATTGATGTGGTTTTGATGATGCCACAGTTCTGCCCAAAACCCTTGTAACTAGCAAGTTCGCCCAGAAGATTATTGAATTACTCCACTGACCATGCATTATTTAAAGGGAAGTGCTATTATTATAGAAGCCAGCTGTTTAATCATTGGAATTCTGTCTGTTGGCCAACTTTCAAGATACAGCAGTGCACTGTGACTGCACTTTATGTCTACTTATAGAGGACTCAAAGCCTAGGTTAGGTGGTGGCCAACTTGTCTGCTAAGCAATCTTTGGTCTGCATGCCCTGGAGCAAACCTACCGAAAAATAAATATATAAGTTTCCAATATCAAGACTTTGGCAGCAAGGAAAATTCTGTGAAACTCTATACGTGCTTGTTCACTCTAACAATTGAGTGAATATATGAACACTTCCTAAAGCTGGTATGACAGAACTCTGGGACTGTAGTTAGTTTTAGAAAGAACTATATTCCAATCACCTGTCTTTTGTTACAGTATCAAGTAAAGAAAAATGTTTTGAGTATCTTGGGGAACTCAGACGATAAACAGAAAACAAATTTTCACCTTCTAAGTTAAAAAATATTTGAACTTCTTTCTTGAAGACAATGTAAGTGGCTTCCAACCATACTGAATATTTGGTTGGTCTAGATGAATTTTCTCCTTCATTTCTTCACTTATTATAGAATCTTTGGAATAGAAAGGATCATAGCAATCAGATACTGTGTTCCATACAGGAGTATGTTCCTAGGATCTCTGACAGGTGTTCATACAGTCTTTAGTTAACTGCTTCTAGCAATGCGAAGTTCATTATCTTTAAAAGAAGTCATTCCCATTTTCAACGCCTTTGAGTTCAAATTGTTAGAAATTTGAAATACAAGAAATTATTTTCTTGTATTAATCCAATATTTGTTTCCTGTTCACACACCAATTCTGATTCTGCCTACTGGAGCAGAATCACCTGGTGCCTAATAAGCAGTTTTTAAAGGCAGGAGTGGAACAATTCATTCCATCTCATTTAAAAATTACTCATAATGATAATAGGTATAATTTAGAGGTCATTAAAAAAAATCCCTATTTTTCTCAACATTTATACCAGAGCAAATTATTATACTGTTTTTCTAGTAAACCACATTGTATCAGGCTTATAGTTTTAGCCCATAGCAACAAATGTCTTTGTTTTGGTTCTGCAAAAAGAAGTTATATGAGGCATTTGAAAATAGAGGGCAAAACTTTGACCCTCAACTGTGGCCTCTTATTGGTGAGAAATGAATTTTTTTTGTTAAACATCTTGATGCAGAACCGGAAATCAAGTCTATAGGACACTTCAAAGGATGAATTAAACTTTAAAAGGCAAGGTAAACACTTGTTATATTCATATATTCTCAGTGAAGTACAATTAGTCCATTGTAGACATTACGAACAGACAAAGAAAAACATCTCTCTAGGATTGTGGTAGCTAGAGATAACTAGTGGTTACATTTATGGCAAAATCCAAGTCTGTAACATTTCAACAACATTTAAAAAATAGATATAGACATAAGGTTAACTTGCTTTATAGAACATTACAGAAAAGTCCTAAATTTCTCTGTTCCTAAATTCATTGATCTATGGGCTAAAAAAGCACAGCTATTTTATAGACTGAGCCATGTCAAACTCTGAGCTCATCTAAGAGGTGACAAACCAGATGCCTGGTGGGTGCTGTTATTTTCTTTGCTGTGCTGATGATTACTTTCTATCTCACAAGAGGAAATAGATCTGTGGTGAGTTCCATGGTTGTTGATAGTCATCAGGAAGGGAATATGCAATACTTAACAACATTTAATGCTATTCTGGGAGGAAAGTTCATGTCTTCCTCCAATAGCAGGCAAGGAACTCCAGAACCTACAGGGTCTCAGATGGAAGATTCCCTTACAGATGCTTAAAATGAAAGTGCTAAATAGGTCCTGGAATCACAAAACCTGTCCCTCTCCATCTTCAACTCATAAGGATGAATTTTGAAATTAGTCTTCTAACTTAGCCATATTTGAAGGTTTCTGGAATAACTCCTGTCACCTTACCTCCAAACATCAAATTACTATTACATATTCAACAAATGAATCTCAATTATGTCCTACTAAAAAATTTACCATTTCAGCAAAAAGTGATCATTGCCTGCGGTAGATGACAGGGACAGTGACCTTACAGTAGGCTAAGCCACTTTCCCCTCTATCTCCACCCCAAGAGAAAACCAAAGTGTATCAGCTACTCCCCACTGGTGGACCCCTTCAGCCTCTTGAAAAAGCCACTTAACAAAAAGTATGTAGAAGTCCTTTGTGGATTACAAAGAACCATGTAAACCCATTTGTGTCTTTAATTTACAGTTCCAGGAAAGGATTATAAAAACAAAAAAACCAAAACATATTGTTTACATTGCCCAAAGGACCAGATGAGTCCCGGCTTGCCAGGGCCTGGCTGGCAAGCAGAAGCAGAGTCTTCTGCACCAGTCGATCCTCCAACATCAAGCGAAAGCACCACTGAGGCTTCATCTGGGGCCAGCTGCCCAGTCCCTCTCAAACTCCTCAGCCATAAGGAGCCCATAGGGTTTGCCCTGAGCGAAAGCAGCAGCCCCCATCCAAAGAGACCACAACTGAATCCTCACTAAATTACTACCCGCAGCTGCCCTAAGAAAGGCAATAAACCTGCCTTACAGGGAGGAAGCATCCCCAGGTTCTTATGCCAAGCATCAGGAAAACATTTGGATTCTTAGAGGATGCCATGAACGGCTGGCCCCTTGAGCAGCAAGGCAGCCAAACTAGTTTGGTAGCAGGCCATGACTGTGGGTCCAATCTCCCCCAGCTAGGGAGTTCAAAATACACATGGGGATTTTGACTTTCAAAACTCCATCCTGAAGTATAGTGTCATTATTAGGCAAACATCAGACTTTTAATTTAAAATATAATATGTCTTCTATGTCAGGAATAAGATTGAATATACATCACATTGATTAATTGGATCCATCTGGGCCAATGGTTCACAGATTCTCTCCCATGAAGCCTGGACATTAGTGGAGAAGACAGTCCCTCCACCTCACAAGGGAGGTCAGGGAGACAGACAAAGCCAAGATCCAGTCCCCTGCCCTTACATGAGCCAGAGCAGTTTCACTTTTGTCTGCTTTATATATTGGTATATAAGTAAGATTTGGTTTACAAAAGTTCTACTATGACAAAAAGCTTACAAATAATTCAGGTACATTTTAAGTTCCATTTAAACTTGCTTTGCCCTCTTTTTAAATCTAGAGCCAGGAAAAGTGTGTCCAAGTCTAAACAAAACAAAATAAAACTAAAACCTACTTGCCAAGTAAAGATGTCTAATTGATTTGCAAACATCAGAAAGAAATATGATTCATGGTGTTCCCTCTGAGCTATCAGAATCAAATGGAAGGTAGACATTTAGTTCATTTCATCTCAGTCTAGTGGCTATTCTATAAGGAAACAGAATTGTTTTGGTCCCCTTAGGGTGATGAGAGAAGGAGCCCTATTACATTGGTATTGTCATCAGTTCCAAGTTCCAAAGCTTCTGGATGCAGTCAGTAGTGACACTATTTCTTCACAGACCATATAAGATTCTGGAAAGGGGTTCTCAGAGAAAGGACCTACAGTGTGTCAGGTGATATGCTAAGTACTTTTCATACAGTATGTCTTATAATCCTCAAGCAATCCTTACAAGGAAGATATTATTAACCCCACTCTACAAATGGATAAACTGAGGCCCAGGAAACTTAAGTGCCTTGTCCAGAGTCGTATCTCAGGTTTCCTGGGCCCTACGAGGCTCTTGGGTTTTGCTGGAAGTAGATCTGAGTTTGAATCCGAGCTCTACCACTTACTGCGTGGATGACCTTGAGTAAGTCATTCCCAAATCTGAGCCTTGGTTGCCATATCAGTTAAGTGAGGAGTCCTTCCCAGACTTAAAACCTCTTTGATGCTCAGTCTCATGTTATAATGGAAGCAGTTAAGCTAAGGAGCAAACATTAGAGCCATCCTGTGTGCAAAAACCATGCAGATTTGCTAAAAGATTAAGAAAATGTAAAACATGATCTTCTTTTAATTAATAGTCCCAGCAGCCTCCCAATTAAGCCAATTATATAAGGAAAGGCGAGGACTGGGCATAGATAAGATCCTTGACTACAGATGATGAATGAGTTATTGCCAGTGAATGTGGCACAGACTCCAGGAGACATCCAGAAGGATCCAGAAGGATCTGGGGGGTCAGCAGTTGAAGGAGCTTCAAGAAGAGGCTGACTTACAAATGTGTGGGTTGACAAGGTACGGGGAGAGGAGAGTCTTCAAGGGCTGGGTGGAACTGTGAGGACAGCATATTCTACTCTAAAGCCAGGACCCTCTGCTTTGAACAGACAAGCCCACGGGGTATGGCTCCAGCAGTCGGAGGGCGCCTCAGACAGGCATCGTGGATGAGTGCTGCTTCCGGAGCTGTGATCTGAGGAGGCTGGAGATGTACTGCGCACCCCTCAAGCCTGCCAAGTCAGCCCGCTCCGTCCGTGCCCAACGCCACACTGACATGCCCAAGGCTCAGAAGGTAAGCCAGCTCATGTGGGGCCAGCCGTCCTCGAGAGACCTGTATCTTAATTGTGTGGATTGGCCAAGCGGTAATTATGTCCCATAGGATCCAGGCTCCCAGGTCAGAAAATCTCCATTCTCACCCGAGAGTCCATCCCTTTGGTCACTCCACATTGTAAATTATTCCCTCTGCTGCTCTGGATGAGCTGATCACCAGAAGATGGTCAAGAGTGACTAAATGTGGGTTTTGGTATTGGACAAAACTGAAGTCCTAGCTTCGCCAATCACCAGATGCGAACCGTTGGCCAAATAATGTAACCTTCCAGGCCTTAGTTCCCTCAGTAAAGTTGAGATAATAGTAATATCTACCTCATCAGGTCATTGTATGAATTTGGTCAGTTAATGCACATGCAATGCTTTTCATGTCCCTGTACAAAGTAACTGTTGGACAAATGTTAACATCTGTCATAGTTATATGAACAAAGTATGTGACCTTTCAAGTCCTGGTATTCTACAGAGGTACAAAGAGAAAAAAAACACTCTAAAATGGGAACTGTTTGAAATTCACATTCAGTGGCAAATATAATTAAAGAAGAAAAACATTAAAAATAGAAATTTCTGTTTGGCTCTAAGAACACCAAAAAATTTCCAGTGATCAAAATCTGCAGGTATTTTTTACTAAGAGCTAGACTTTAAACAAGCCTTAAAGGTACTATCTATGCCATCAAAAGTACAGAAATCATCTGATGCAAACTGATCACTTGATAAATTTTGTTGAACGAGTGAATGAATGAACAAATGAATATAAGTGATTACATTTTAGTCATTAAGTAGTAAGAAAGAACTAAAGAGAGGGTGAAGAATGCGAGGAAGAATGAGTAAGGAAAGTAAAAAGCTCTCAAGTCTCCCTGCTCTCAAGTCTCCCTGGGAACACTGTTAACAAAAAAAAATTTTTTTTTAACTGTGGTTTTAATCTTTGGAGTAGAAACTAGAATCGTGCAGAAGGCACAAGGTGAGAGACCAAGAAGTTTATTATGACACCTTTGCTACTTCCTGGTCCTAAATTGCAGCTGAGGCTGGAGGAGGACCAGGGAGCTTAGGAGAGATGTGACCCCAGGGAGCCACCTTGAGTGATGGAAAGGGACTGGGGACAACCTGGCACACAGAGAACACAGTAGCCAGTGGACAGGTTAAGGAGCAAGCACCACAGAAGTAACTTCTAGGTGAATGTGGCTAGAAAGTGTGCTTGAGGGGACGAAGGCAGATTAATTCTTTCTCTTTCCAGGTGACTCAATGTCTCTCAGTTTCTAGTTGGTGGGGTGGGGGTGTCAGAGATGAGTTCCAAAGTCCTGGCATGTCAGGTTTTGTGACTGGGGTCTAGACATCTCTCCAGCACCAGTGCCATCTCCTGCATCATGTGGAGCCCAGGCATCTGGGCTGACGCAAAGGCTCTGTCTTCTGGGACACCAAGGGAACCACCTATTCTCAATGCAATTATTTTTGTGATGTTTACAGTATCAGCCCCCATCTACCAACAAGAAAACGAAGTCTCAGAGGAGAAGGAAAGGTGGGCCAAAGAAACATCCAGGAGGGGAACAGAAGGAGGGGACGGAAGCAAGTCAGCAGATGAAAGGAAAGAAGAAAGAGCAGAGGAGGGAGACTGGAGCTAGAAACTGAACACAGGCAAGAAAGGAAAACGGAGGAAAGAAGGACTAAGACAGAGGCAAGGACGATGAGAGAGAAGCAGACAGCAATAAAGAAAAGTGGGAAATGCTATAGCGGAGATGAAGAAAAGTAGGCCTGCTGGAGCTAGATAACGCATGTGACAGAAGGAGAAGTAACCTGTTGTAGGAGGCGGCTAATAAACTTGGAGAAATGGGAAAGAAAAATGTAATACCCAAGAAAGTCCAAAGAAAGACAGTGGCAAGAACGCAAAAAGAACAAAAATTATGAAAGACGCAAATAAAACAAAAATTCTCTTCCCCCCAAAAAACAGTTAAATAAGAGTAAAAGAATTAGAACAAAAATCAAGGCTTTTATATGCATTTAAAAATTTTGTGTGAATCCATTATAAAAGAATTTCTTCTATCTCACTATATGTCCTGAGTTAAATATTAGCCCCAAATTCTCAGCAAGACTGAATTGTGTCATAAAAGTTCCCAGATTTCCTTTCCTGCAGTGTCATTGGAGTCTGCATTTCTTAGTCAAGTTCAGGCCAAAGGGCACCCAGTATTTACCTAAAAGCCTGTGAGATCTGAGAGCTTACCTATGAGAGGAGGTCACTGAACTTTTTTTTTTTTTGCACTTTGGAATCAGATATAAAAGATACATTAGTGTGCTACGGATGCCATAATAAAATACCACAGACTAGGTGACTTACACAACAGAAATGCATTTACACATTTCTGGATGCTGGAAGTCCAAGATCAAGGTGTTGGTAGGGCTGGTTCTATCTGGGAGCTGTGAAGGAAGGATCTGTTTCAGGCCTCTGTGCTTGGCTTATAATTGGCCTTCTTCTCCCTGTGTTTTTGTATCATCTTCCCTCTGTACAAATCTCTGTGCTAAATTTCCTCTTCTTATAAGTGCATTGGTCAAATTGGTTTAGGCCCATAATGACCTCATCTTAACTTAAATCCTTATGTAAAGACCCTATCTCCAAATTCAGTCATGTTTTGAGGTACTAAGGGTTAGGACTTCACATATGAATGGGGGGTGTGTGCACAATTCAGCCTAAAACAAGATTTCTGATGTATGATCCCATCACCTGTAAAATTCTCTCCCTCTCTTTCTCTCTTATGCATGCGCACATACACATACACACACACAAATCTAGATTTTTAAATCTGAAATCCCAAGAGTTTCTGTTCCATGGAAATATTATGTTGTCAGAGCTACAAAAAGACTCAAATCATCTGTTTCAATCCCATATTTTAAAGGTAGGGATACTGAGACCCAGAAATGGGCAAAGACAGGCTTGGGTTCTAAACCACCCTCTTTCTGGCCAGCAGAGAATAGTACATAATCAACATGAACTAAGAAAGAATTCCGGAAGGAAGAGATGGGTCAGACATGGCCACATGAAGTCTCCCCTAATTTAATATTTTTCCACCAGAAGGAAAGCAAGGAGTGAATGAGCAAGGGGCACTAGATTTCCCTGAGGGTAAAGAAAAGCTAAATAGAATCACAGAATTTGAGTCTTAGAGACCTTCTCCTTCATCTTCCTTGATTTAAACAGTAGGGTTAGGGTCTTCATTGGTAATAAAGCAAAAAGTCTGAAGATTATTCAAATTGTGACTTGTAAGTCCTGAGAGATGGTGCAAGAGCGAAGTGCTCAGCCAAATAAATGAAGACACTTGGGATAAGAAGATGACTAAACCAAGAAGGGAAGCATTTCATCCAAGTTGTCTGCTCTGAAGATGTCATGGTATAAAGGAACATCCTTTCTGCCTGGTCCTTTATGCCCCAGCCATGCTTTCTACTTCAGGATCATCCATGGTTCATTGAAAACCCAGGCTATATAATATATGGATATGCCAAGGCTCAAGCCAGGGGGAAAATTTCTGACCACAAGTGTGCCAAAATCCCAGATGGGAGCAAAGACACTGCTACTGTTCTGGATGCAAAGTGGATCCTAGCTTATCAGAACAGACAAAAGCCAGGCTAGTGCCTGAGCCATCTAGCTGGCCACCTTATTCAGGAGAAGCTCAATTCTTCTATTAAAACATCCATGCTTTGGGACCAACACCTACTGTTTCTACCACCTGAGTGTAACCTGCAAACAGAGATGGCTCTTCAAGGGACCACAGTGTGGCAGAAGAATTAACAGTTTGTGCTCTATGGAAAGATTCCTTAGAGGATTATCCCTTTTCTCTTTCATTGATGACTGAATCAATGTCAGTTTTAACACAAGGCTTTGGATAAACTACAGTTATACCCAATGATGAACTTCATTCAAGAAAAAGGCAAAGGCTTTAAAAGAAGAAAAAAAACAGCAATAGAACTTTCTAGTTAAAGAATGTTTAATTGCCAGACTATGGGTTAAAACCTGCTTATTGCAGTAGAGTTTTATCAGCTCTAAAGCAATCATCTAGAATGCCTACATGTGATTTCTGAATAATATGAACTAAGTAAACAGGAAGACTCTATTGTCTTTCCATCTCCTCCTTCCCAGTATCAATACTAAGCACCTAGCAATACGTGGCATATAATGATGGATGAATGCATGGATGGACAAATGAGTGATATAGGGAGGTGAATAGTAGCAGAGAGATAGATCATAAAAATAAGTAGTGCTGTTAAGATGAAATAATTCCTCTTGCCCTTGCATAAGACAGTGAGGCAAGTACAGAGTGAAAAATGGAAGGCAGAGAAGGTGTGCTTGCACAACTCTTGCATGTTTAGCATTTCCTACTCTAGCTTAAATTGAAATTATTCAAAAACCTACTGCTAAAGGTGGCAACTGGCTCAGTATTTTAGTGAATGTTGTGTACTTGTTAGTTCCCCTAGTGCTTTCTTGAAGTAGGCAGAGTATTCATCGTTTAAAATTCCACTGTTTCAACTGTTTCTTTTAGGACAAATTGACTATTGTACGTAAAACTAATGGGAATATGTAAGGAATCATGATCCTGAAATTAAATTGTTGAAAAATATTTTTTTATTAAGCACCTACAATGTGCAAATCTCTGTATGAGGCATGAAAGAGAATTATAAAGATTAGAGAGACAATAAAACAATAGTTAAGAGTACAGAATCTAAACTAGCCGAAATAGCTCAGTTGGGAGAGCGTTAGACTGAAGAGTACAGAATCTAGAGTCAGATTGCCTGGGTTCAAATCCTGGCTATCTCATTGAATAGCTGTATGGCCTTGGGAAAGTCATGTAACCTGTCTGCACCTCAGTTTCCTCATCTGTCAAATCGAAGTAATAATTGAATCTACCTCATAGAGCTGTGAGGATTTATTGAGATTATATATGTGTGTGTATGTGTGCATGCAAATACATATTATGGTGTTTAAAATGGTGCCTGGCACATAGCAAGCACTATTAAAGTTTTAGTTAGTAGTTTAAGAACTCAGTTCTTAAAATTAGGGCCATCTGAAAAAGCACAAATCTCCTCAGAGAGAAGTGGGTCTCCTAGCACCAAAAACTTCAAGCTCAAGCCTGCCGACACTTTACAGTGATGTAGTAGTGGGTTCCAAGCATATGATAGGAAAAGAAAACTCGATGACCCAAGACCCTTTCCGACCCAGAGAACCCCAGTTCTATAAGCTATTCCAACTTCAACTGAAGCTCATTTGTCCCATGTGAGGCACCGTTAACTTTTATTTTGAGGTCATAGAATGAGCTTTTAGAAAATCACCATTCTTCTCAACCAGTTAAAATCAAATGTAATATGTGTTTTCATTTCATGGTGCCTGAGGAAATTTTAATTGTAGCATGAACTCCAGCTCTTACTAGTTTAAAGTAAAATTGCCAAAATAAATAAAAATGTGGGATATTTCCGGGCTCACACATCTTCCGGGACATTTCAGTTTCTAGGGCTGCTGATCCAGTGCCTTTCACAAGCATTTGATCTTCCTTCAAACATCTCTTGAAAACAAACAAAACCTCATACAGCTTCTAATGCGAGTGCCGTTAGGATGTAAGGGTGGAAAAGCGGCAAAGAAATGAGCTCCCAAAGAGTCCCTCCTGTTCTCTCCCCTTCCTCTCCAGACCACATCCCTCCCACCAGTCACCAAGAGGAAACAGTGTTTTCTTCAGTAATAAATTTTGCAATTTCTCAAGTCTGTTTGCATCCTTGGGGGAAGATGTGGGCTAGTCTCCTTACTTGCGTATGTGAAGAGAATAGGGCTTTTGGCAATATCTGCTAGATGACAGGGAGCTGACTTAATCCAAGGGCAAAGATGATAGTCTGGAGTTAAAGTGGAAGCCTTTGGTAGCAATGAAAAGATAAATCATTTTAGATGAAGCACAATGCCCTTTATGAAATATCCACTATAGAATTCCTCAGGTTGTACGCTCACTTCAGTGATTAAAAGCCCAGCTGCTGAATCGTTTGAAAATCAGTGATAATATTAATTGACCTAGTCAAGATAAGTTCACTTTTAAAGAAGGCGCAGGTAAGGTTAGCAAAAGTTCTTAAGTGGTCACTGACCTTCCAAACCTGCAAGGTCAAAATAAGTTTCTCCATCCTTGGGGGGTCCAACTGAAATCTGAGTACCTTTCCCTGATACCTTCATATTTGGAGTTCCTTATTTAATGCGACTCCTTCAGTGCCTTTAGTGCTACCTCATTTGTATCCAGCAACCGAAAGAGATGGTTTAGAAATACAGACTTACATTTAAACTCAAGTAGAGAGAAATGGAAAATTGAGAACAGCAGGGAAATTATGAGAGATGTGGGACAATGGGTCTATGAGTCCACGTCTGGCACCTCTAGAGAGCAGCCAAGAAACTGCTTGCCACACCAGGAACCCAATTACAGCTCAGTGGGCTATTACTCGATAAGTAACAAGAGCTAGCAAACATCTTTGAAAATTCCCATCTGTATTTTATTAACTAGTGTGGTT